GCCGCCGCTGCCAGCAAGGTCTACGAGCTGGTGCGGACGCCGAGTCCGGACGCGGCCACCACCGCCGACGGCGCCGAGAAGAGGAAACGCAAGTGGTCCGGCAGCGCCAGCGCCAAGAAGGCCAAGAAGCACAAGCGGGAAAGATGCAGCACAACGTAAACGGTGCGCGTACAGGTCCATGGAGATTTCTGATCGCTCGTTCGTCTGTCTCTTTCTATTTCTCTCTCTTTCTCTTTTTCTCTTTTGCTTTTTTTTTTTACTTATGTATAGCGCGTTAGCGTAGCTCTCTTGCCGGAATTACAGAAAAAAAACTGACTCATGACCNCTTTTTCTCTTTTGCTTTTTTTTTTTACTTATGTATAGCGCGTTAGCGTAGCTCTCTTGCCGGAATTACAGAAAAAAAACTGACTCATGACCCACCTACTGTCTCATATCCCGTACACCTTTCTCTGTTTCAAACAGAACTGAGGTGAACTGAGTGCCTACTCAGTAGGTGCAGTAGGTAAATGTGGTCGTCGCGATTAATTTGCGAAAGAACAAAAAAATGACACGCTCGAGAGAAAGTCTTAACGTCGCGCGCCGGACACGTCAGATCATAGAACGATATTCCGATCTCACGCGGTGTCTATCTCTCGCGGGCGGTATTATCTGTCTTTCGCGCGATTAGACGTTTCCCACTCCGTTTCGGCTCTGGTTCATTCAAGAGAAGTTCCGTAGCGGCACCGTAGCGGCACCGGCGAAAGTGTTTTTATAAAGTCCGACAGACTCCGCTGCTTCACTATCATTTCTTATATCCCGACATTGTCGTGCGATCGCAACAATGTTGGTTGTCGGGAATTTTTGTGGAGATTTTTTTATCAAAATATTATTTATTATTTTTTTATCAAAATTATTTTTTTATCAAAATTACTAAGTAATCGGTAACTCGGTGACAAATAACGTTAGAAAATCGCACAGTCTCGCGGTGTTCTCGCGAAAACGATGTATGCGTATTAGGTATTTATTATAGATATTATTTATTAGGTATTTATTATATATATTATTTATTAGGTATTTATTATATATATTATTTATTAGGTATAATGTTAAATAAAAATAGTGCAAGCGATAACATTTGTTTTTCTTGACGTATGCATGTTCTTTATTTAGTACTCGTACGTGTGTGTAAATTCAACTCAAACATAAATGATCAATTTTTAAATATGTAGTCAATTTTCATCGCTTGTATCTCTTGAAGTCATACATAAATGAGGTTTTTCTTCAAAAAATTGATTCGAATCAGGGGATATCTCTACCAAGGAAAAATTATCGAGTGCAAAGGATTGAAAGTTATATATAAATTATTAAAGTTATATATAAATTATACTAAAGTTATATACATATATATATATACAAGCTACTTTTTCAGTGGGTTTTTTTATTCCGTATTATAAACGCGCCGTTGGAAGATGTGGTTTTTCGCGGTTGTGTCATTCCGAATCTCGAGGGACTCTCAGCGAATATGGAAGTGAGTGCAAAGACCAGATCTTTCAAAGCGAATATATACGTAGTCGGATTGTTTAGCTATAGCAACGAACGCATATTATGCAACATTGCGAACATCTCACCTATGCATTGTTGTACTGCACGTTTTCTCTACGAAAAACTTTCCATACTCGCGGGGTGTCTCCGAAATAACCAGACGAAGTACGGAACATCCAGCGAAATAGAGAAAATCGCATATCGTTGTTCCGATATGAACTTCTCTCTCTCTCTCTCTCTCTCTCTCTCTCTCTCTCTCTCTCTCTCTCTCTCTC